CTTAGTGTCTTTTCAGTACTTTGAGAGACCTCCTTGCCCTGCAATACACGACTGAATGCTCCAAGGTACGCTACCGATCAAAGTTTGTCAGAAATCATGTGACAGTGTTTCCCAATATTCGACCACTTCTTCCTTCATATTCTCAATTTTTTAAAAGTCCTTTTTGGTTTATTCTGCCCTTCATTAGTCTCCACACATTCTCAATAGGGTTATGATCTGGGCTGTAGCTGGGCCAGTCTAAAACTTGAACATTTTTGTCCGACAACCACTGTTTTGTGTAGCCTGCAGTGTGTTATGGGTCGTTATCCAATCCAATTATCTTCATACAGTATTTGGGCTGTTGGAAGGAGGTGATCATTTGAGATGTCAACATATCGTTCCTTTCGGTAATTTCCAGTGAAAATACACAACAGCGACACTCCACTTGATGATACCCCAACCCATATGTGAAATTTCGGGCTATGTTTTGGGCGTAGGCCAATAGGTTTCACAGTATTTTTTTGGTCAAAATTTTCACCCAGTTCAGGAATTTCAACAGAAAAGAAAACATTATCCCAATCTTGATTTTTGTGAGCCCTACACCAGTTCAAGTCAAGTGTTTATTCCAGTATGCATATACAATGCAAAATATATACAGTTTTATATACAATAGATACATTGCAATATTGCCTTAGTTTGCAAAACATAACATTATAGATATACATATGTCATATATATTATGGTGAATAAATATTGTATGTGTGATATCTATCATCTCATGTTTTATATGCTCTTGAAACGTCTTTCTTTTTATGCATCTTTCATCTATGGTGAGCGAATTCAGCACTTTTTACCCAAATAAGTAATTCTTGTCTGAGGATTGCATTACATACTTGAGGACTTCCCCTATTAATCATCTCATTTCTGATATTCTCAACGCTTTTCAATTTTCCCCTACTCACAATCTGACCAAGTTGCTGGCGATCCGCCGTTCTGAACTTCCTTGGCCTCCCTGCCCCTGTCTTGAGATCAATCCCAACTCTTGACTGAATATTCTTCAAAGTTCTGTATACTGTAGACAGAGGAATGTCATGTCCACCAGCTAACTCTTTTGCATTAGTCACACCCCTTTCAAAATCATCTAAATCCAGCTTTCTTTTCTCTTCTGCTGCCCAATCTGCCATGTCAACACAGGAGGTCATCTGCTACACCAGGGGAGATACCTCCTGATGTAGTTAGGTTCATTCTTAAGACTACAAGAGTTGCCTCCCATATTGAGTACTTTACTACATACTGTAACACCTATTTTAAAATTGTATTATCATTATTAGAAAACAAAGATATGCTCAGCATCCTTTTGAGAAGGGACTTTACAAATACCTGACACCCATTACACAGCTCTTCTATTTCATGATCATAACCTAAGATCAAACAATTTGCAAAAGATCATGTAAATCTTTTCAGTACATTAACAGGATAATGGTCAACTCATACACATCCAGCCATGTACAGTAAACTATGGCTATAATGAACTCAAAGGGACCACTAATTTTAGTCCATTGCAAGAGAATTTTGTATAGGTTTATTATGAACATTAACATTGTCGTTGGAAGACTGACTGAGTTTACATTAGGCTACCCCACCGCCCCGTCGTTGGAAGAGGACAAAAGGGGACACAAAAATAAATCACTAAATGTCTCAGTACATTATCAGGTATATGTTATATCCATCAATTTTATATGATAAAATATATAGGAAAAAGCCAGGACGAAAACAGTTTGTTATATATTCCAGTTCATTATCAGTGTCTTTGTTAGAAACATAGTTAACAGAACACCTAACCTACACATCAATCTATACCTTCATTATTTATTTTTAAAGACAATTAGCATTTGAATTTAATCCATATGTGATAACATAGGTAGTTGATTTTGAAGATTATCTGCCAATTATCTACCAGCATATTTACCTCTTGAATATAATATTTATATTTCATATGTTAGATTTCAAAGCATTATCATGGTTAAACACTTAATAGTTCAATTTCTGGAAACGGTCTATCATGTTGTAATGTACAAAATAGGAGTGAGAAAGTTTCAAGTCAAGATCAATAATCATCTTAACTGAACATACACAGGAGTGTGTATTGCAATTCTAGTACAAATATATACAGCCTACAGGACATATAAACACTACTTTTTTAAGACTTTTACTTCATTGAATTAGTTTAGTGTTCAGGAAACAAATAATGTTTCTATTGATTAGTGCCCAGTGAGATATTAAATGTACTCCTACTTGTACTACAGAATTATAAAGCTTTAACTCAAGTTTTCTTATGGGTGTTGTTACAATTGTCCCTAAATTATCAGGGATTTACCTTTGTCCCTACACTAGTTTTTAAAGAATACATCTTGGGGTCCAAGGCATTAAAATGGGTCCTTAGGTGACCTCTGTACCAACAGCAAACAAAATATCAAAGAATGTGTTATACCCATTGGAAGCAGAAGTGATTGAGTGAAGACAATTTGACATGGACCATCTGGTCACTGGTTGTATTTCTATTTAAAACAGGAATACAAGTTAAAACTCAAGCAAGTTAAAGGGAAACAAGCCTCCAACTTTTTGTCGTCCAGCCAGCACCATTTTAATTAGCCGCAGTTAACAGTGGATGCCAATTAATAATGAATTATTGAAACCACCCAACAAACTGGATATTGGACCAGCAATGGAATGCCTCGTTGAAAATCAGGGAAATCCCCTTGAATTCTCATATTTGATCAGATAATGCTTACAAACACTTTATGAGCACTTATGTTCTTCATTACACAGCAATTACGTGTACAAATTATTTTGCAAGAATATAGTTCAGTTAATCTATTCATCAATGTTTTATTGTATAAGCTCTACACTTATATTTATCATCATTCACTTCATTGAGTAATATAATGATAATTTGATGTGGTGAATGTATTACATGTTATGCAATATGCATGTGGCAGCGCAGCCAGTGGCAAAGGATTTGCCAAAAATCAGATGGGAATACACCTTCAGTACACTTGGGCACCTGTGTAAAAGCAACTTACTTTGTTCAAAGGACTAACGAATATCATGTTGATTGATTTCTCATTGTTGATTAACTAAAATGAATATTGCATAGAACCATGGATATCATGAATATAGATATCATATGTGCTACCTCAGCTGACCAAAGACACATTTCACCAATGTGAAACACCTGAAACAAACAAACAGTAGAGAGACAAACATGGGATTTGATATCCCATAATACCTTAGAAATTTTCAAATATTTTTGAGTGTTACAATGACACATGACATCAAACAAGTTTCTTTGTACAGGTTCTGATGTATGAAATGTTGTTCCTATGTGTGGATATTGACCAATATGTTCCAGATAACTGCCTGATATCATACCTATAAGGTTTTTGGTTGTAATTATGTTATTTGTATTTTGTTTTCATTCCTCTGCTGCACCAGGAATGTGTGAGGCCTCTATGGTTACAGATCAAACTGTATCATGAATAAACATTATCCCGCAAGAGCAATCAATTATTCCACAGTGCTATTATTTCATTAAATACATTCAGTTAAAGCTGCAGCTAAAATAACTTCATAGTGGTGTATATATAATTTCACAATTTAGTGTTCACAAACATTCTATAAAGTTATATCGTTGGGTATTTTTAATTGAATCACAGTTTTATTTGTGAAAAATATGTGTTCAGCCGATTGCAAATTTCAAGTTTAATTTATGAGAACATACACAGTAATCTTTATAACTATGCCTGTCACAATAGAAAATAAAATTCAAATGTTGAATCATTATGTCAAGGGATAATCGCTCTCAGATTTCACATTTTATTGACGTTTGTTATCAGCTGTTTGTTTATCTCAAGTCTTCAAAGGGATACTGTGCACTTTATAACTGTGCATAATTACAGATGTTCACAGGCAGTTTCATGCTTTTTTAAAAGTCTTGTATGCATTAATCAACAACAAAAAATCATATGTTTGCTGGCTGTATCTTCTTATTGTATATCCTTTGTTACAACAGACTGCTTCACATTCTATAATCCTCCTAAAGGTGTAGCTTTGCATCAGTGTGGCGCTAATAATGCTGAACACAAGTAAAACATGTCAAAATAATATATAGTCCATAATAAGCAAATTTAAATTCCTTGAAGAAACAACCAATCCATATTTTAAAATCTTCAAAGCTGGAGTTTTGTTTCCCTTTAAGTACATTTCATTTAAGTAGGTTTAATCATTCAAACATCCATACCGTCAATGGGACTCTCAGTGGTTATACTTTTGTATTCTGTGTTTACTTTCATGCACACAAGAAGCAATATTTTAGCCTTTGTGTTCAAAAAAATGTTGTGATTTTAGCATGTTGAGTGGACCAGCTGATGTTTTTAAGTTTAAGGGTAAGTTCAAATTTTGTGTGCAGGTGAGTTTGATTCTTTGATGGATATGCTATTTTCATGGGGAACAAATCTGTGTGTGGAGCAGTAGACTATGAACAGTATCCGTGAAAACTGATCTAATAGTCATGTGTATGTGTGTGTGTGTGTGTGTGTGTGTGTGTGTGTGTGTGCGTGCGTGCGTGCGTGCGTGCGTGCGTGCGTGCGTGCGTGTGACACATCAAAGATCTGGCTTTATTTTAACTAAACTATTGTCAATGAGTGTTCACTGTTGATCACATATGCTCAGTAGAAGAATTGAGTCTCTTTCTAGGGTGACTGAATTACTGTAGGCCCACCAGAAGTACAATTATTTGTTTATATGCCATCCATCATACCGCCTGGATATATTATGACCAATACATTTCCATCATCACATTTGGATTCCATCCACATTTTTAAGTCAACGAATATTGTTATGTCATTTAGTCAAGACAAAGTCTTAAACGATTTACTGCAGAATCAGGGAACCAAACACTGTCGATGCCACCGAGAAGCGGCAGACAGCAGTTCATGCATTTAGTCAGTGATTTACATTACCTTCACTTTGACACGAATCACCTCACGGTTTTCCAAGTTGTAAAATCCAGCCATAGTACCTTTGCGTGGAATAAGTATATTCTTCTTAACTGTTGGTGCTTACACATCACAATATACAACGAGATGTCATTTCTACAACTTCACCCTCAGTAGCAGTCGCCATTTTCCTCCATAGCCTCGATTTGGTGTCGAGCAACGGAAGTGCAAAGGTATGGTCTATTGCAGGGAAAGGGTACTCATTCTACAAAAAGATAGAAGAAGACATGCCTATTTGTTTGTATGATAAATAACGGACAATATTCAATGATAAAGAAAAATAGGAAATATTAAATAGGTTAAAGAAAACATGGATAATATATTCTAAAATACAGCAGGAATGAATTTGATGTGTACACCCCTTCAATACTATGGAAATCGAGCATTCAGCATAATGTACACGTAGACCAAATCCGTACATTAACAAATCGATATGGTCTCTATTTACACATGATTCAACACATTTTATTATGAATATTCTAAACAAACCTAAGACACCAAATTGTGTTGTGTTAAGACACTGCTAATAATCTAATATAACAACATACAGTTAATATGAATCAAGAACAGGATGTTATTATTTCTCTAAACACTTTGATCTACGTAGATCTAATGTCAAAACTGTGAAACACAACCATTTTTGAAGATGACTAAACTCGTACCTGTCAAGTATTAATTGTCACGATTTAGTAGTGTTCACCCCAAAATGACATATGTTTTATCCAAATATATTAATGTCCTCGTGACAATGTGTAAATTAATCTTCTGACCGGTACATTATATCATGAAAACTCCAATATGGTCGATTTGACAAAGTGTGTGTACAATACTCTACCTGTCAGGTTTTACCAGCGTCTGCTCCACGCGGTGATGATTACCTTATGTACATAGTATATCCCACGTGAAGTTGTCTCATTGTACTCATATGCAATTTAGGTATAGGTCAGTAATTGTTGATTGTACAAATTGCCACATACGAACTACAACTGCTGATCGTTGGAAAGCCATAAAATGAAACTGAATGGCACTGATTTTACATCAGCACATTGAGGCTGAACAAACAGATGTCTGCATTTATACGAGATTAAAACTGTAACAGATCAGCGTTCATTAAGCTGATGTCTAAGGGGGGAATGAATCTATATATCTTTCCAGTTACATCCCTTTCCCAGCTGCGTGTCTGTCACCCTACAGTAGACAAATACATCGTTTATGTGTGCATATATACGCCCGCAGAGACGATTACAATAATATCTGTATTTACATGCATGGCCATATGTGTATATGTCCAGATTCACGTGCTCGAGAAGCATAAATTTCTGGACTTCTTTGTACATTAATGCTTAAATACACCTGAAGAAATCAATAAATGTATATTATATGTATGCTGTATACGTATTAAGAGGTGAGACAATTAGGCTTAGTCGACACACACACCATACCTATCTATCCTCAAGTGTGTGTGTGCGCGCGTGCGTGTGCGTGCAATGCTATAATTCGGATGTAGGACATACTATGCATATAACGTTTGCTTGTCGAAATTAAGTCTGGCTGAGAATTTGAAATCATTATTTTTAAGATGAAAACTTAGAATAAAGAAGTTGCTGTCCCACCTGCTCCTGGGAGATATCTTCAGCTATATCTATACCGACAAGTGGAATGTATTCACAAACAGCTTGGACATCTATCGCGTGAACCTTGACCGCAGCAAGTGAAGTTCAAGCGCCTGTTTGACGTCGATATCTGTTGCTGGGTTGTTGGGGTCAGGGTCAAGGTACGCTGGGCTGTTATGTAATCCCCTTGTCAAGCTGCGGAAAGGTTTACTCTCCTGATAAGTCTTACAGTAAATATGTTCCCACAAACACCGGCAGATAGAGTATCCAGCTGATAGGCAAATATTGCTGTATCACCTATATTTCAAATATTGCTGTATCACCTATATTTCAAATATTGCTGTATCACCTATATTTCAAGCATCTCATGCTAATCAGTATAACGTATTCAATTGTCGCAAACAGGTTGATTTTATTGTCTGTATCTAGGGGCGGTCGTCCGTCCAAAACATGGCAATTGAATTAAAGGTCTCCAGTGCGCAATAACTGTCAAATGTTATGAATAAAGTATTAAAAAGTTACTAATAAATGTCATATGAAAAATGAAACTCAAAATACGAATCGAAATATATTGAGTCATTGAGTTGGGTTTAATGCCGCTTTAGCAATATTCCAGCAATATCACGGCAAGGGACACCTGAAATGGGCTTCACACATTGTGCCCATGTGGGGAACCGAACCCGGGCATTCGGTGTGACGAGCGAACGCTTTCACCACTAGGCTACCCCGCTGATAATATATTGAACAACCATGACATATAAGACCCTATTTGAAACAAAGAACAATGCCTTTGTATTAAAGCAAATCCGTGTACACAATATACCCTTCAAGGACAACTGTAGACTAAGGTTTAGTCTCTGAATATATATAATTTTGATGGTAACAAACAAGCCCATTTATATTGAAAAGGTGCCCTAGGGAGACCAGAGACTCAGGTGTCGTTGCAATTTCTACATTTCCAATTAGAACGGGTTGTTTCGTTGTGTGTATGGGCCTGTGGAACATGCAAGCATTGCGCAAGTCGACTCTGAGGTGTCCACATGTTCATTTATTACGTCATTCCTCGTAGACTATGTGGTATCATACACACATAATGACTCTTCCAGTACTTGTGACTATTATTGTGTACTGGTGACCTTTATTGTGTACTGGTGACCTTTATTGTGTACTGGTGACCTTTATTTCAAGTAATGCATTGGCAGAAGTGGCTTCCGAAACAGAGCAGCAAAAGTACCACTTTATCACAAAACCTACCAACAATGATACATGTAATCAGGGTGTACATTTGATTTTCGTTTCAGGACTGCGGTTAGTTGATGGAATGTCAAAGAGTGAAAGGTCGCTGGTTCGAACCCATGGAAGTTTTTTTAATTTTTTTTTAAAGAGTTAAAATACTATACTTGTTATATATTTAGGGGATGTAACAATGAATGGTTTCCTCGGAGTAAGCATAATGTGTCTGAGTATTTAGGGGATGTAACAATGAATGGTTTCCTCGGAGTAAGCATAATGTGTCTGAGTATTTAGGGGATGTAACAATGAATGGTTTCCTCGGAGTAAGCATGTGTCTGAGTAGTGTGCCCATGTTAAACTGCGGCATGGTATTACAGAGGTCTAGCACTATAAAAACCGGCATATATATGCACACACACACACACACAAGCAGGTGTGCGTGCGTGTGTGTATATATATATATATACACCCAGATTCAATAAATGTATATTATGTGTATGTTGAATACATATCAAATAATCAGTCTGAGATGAACACAACGTATACACAAAGTGTGTGTGTGTGTGTGTGTGTAACCGTTAGCCTATATACAGTATCCAGCAGAATAACAACATGTATTGATGGGTGAAGGTGCTACACTTGTAGGCGTTTCTACATGAATCACTATATTCTGGAAGGACAACAACAGGACGTATTGTAACAGCTGAGTCACTGATCTTGCCGGTAAGAGCCCCAAATACATACGCTGGTAATTAAAGCTCTCAGCTTGCATTCAATTAGTCACAGCATTGTCCAGCTGTGTCCACGACTGAGTTTTCCGTGCGCCGTCTGGACACGACATTAACGGACTTCTTCGCGATCCACTCACCTACAGTGACGTCATGCTTTCTCCCAAGCTCTGGTTGAATGTTTTGACTTTAATACCTGGAAGTTACAATATACCCGGTGTTCCATGTATAAACTCTCTGGGATTGTCTGTATAATTCCGGTGACATTAACCGGTGTTACATCTATAAACTCCCTGGAATTGTCTATAGTTCCGGTGACCTTGTAAAATCTCCGTTGGATAAACATGTCTGTGAACTGGCAACTTTCCCAACCGAGTGAAGCAAGAGGGAACAGATGCGTTGATATACCCACAATGCTGATAGATAGCAATACCCTCTTTCCAAGCTCATGTACGCCAGCCAGAGGTATGTTACGTCCGTTTCACAAGGTTCATTGAACATGAGTGACTTTGTTAATGCCTCCGGGAACATTCCTATTAAACCTCACGTGGTATTAATGTTGGAGTTTGTAGAAATCCATGAACAAGGGGGTGGTGCTAACAAATCCTTCTCTCTTTTTCCTATGAGGTTTAAACGATTTTAGACTGTTTTAATCCTACAGTTATTTGGCCAGACTTAAATAGTGGAGATCTTGTCGCAGCCCAAGACACCTCCTTTTGAAGCATTTAAATGGTTTGAAAAATATTTCCAGGCAAGACACGTATATACAGTGTTAAGCTGTGATCTTCGTGGCATAATGCAGACTGTTTTTATTTTTCAAAAGAAAACCCACATACACCCATACATTGCACAGACACAGTTCAGGTTACCAATGTATCCCCTCCGACTGGACTCAGGAACAAACAAACAGATATGCTCTGATCAATTCCAATCAAGTCTTGGGACGTCTTTAACATTTACTGCCGAAGGATGTACTTTACAAGTTAGGTATACCCGGTAATAATAAGGGCAGGGCTCACCTCCTTTCAAACACACTGGGCCGGTGGGGTAGCCTGGTAGTTAAAGCGTTCGCTCATCCGAAGACGCGGGTTAGATACCCCCCATGGGTACAACGTGTGAAGCCCATTTCTGGTGTCCCCCGCCGTGATATTGCTAAAAGCGGCGTAAAATCAAACTCACTCAATCACTCACACCGTGTCGGTCTTAATATACATGAGCGTCGGAACTCAATTTGTCGTTTCCTTTTTGTTTGGATTTGTGAAAAGAAATTGCAACGAGAAATAGTCATTTGTGTCTTGTGGCGCTCACTGGAGTCAATCAACATACACGCACTCCAGTCTAGTGTAAACTCCTTAGATCTTAGATGCTGGTGCGTGAAGCGACAGTAATATTACCACTGTAAATGAGTTCAGAAGACCGGGTAAAAAAAATGCCTCCTATAATCCTCTCACCAGGCATGTTGCAGTCATGTATAACGTTTGAGGTGACAAGTTATTCAACTGACTGCAATACATACCGAAATAGTTATATTTGTTTGATCAACAAACTGTCTTGCCACGGTCATCCCAGGTGAACACTCCACGTGAAGTTCACACGTCGACCTTGATCTTGTCTGCAAACAGGTAATCGGCAACATGTATGCATGTAGAAGTGAATGTCCTGGCCCGAGCTGATAACGTCGGCTGAAGGTTGAGTGTATCTAATAGGGGCGTCACAGACAAGGGTGAGAACCTCGTGATAACTGTCTGTGTAGTTGTCGTACTAGACTAAGGCTTAGTCTCTGAATATATATAATTTTGATAGTAACAAACAAGCCCATTTATATTGAAAAGGTGCCCTAGGGAGACCAGAGTGAGGAAATCTAGACTTGCTTTATTTTGGGCTTTAGCACAGCAGAGAGGGCTTGGCAGTAGGGAAATTAATGTGGTTCAGGGACTGTGAGACAGACTATTGTCGTACTGCTTTCATGTGATATACCAGCTGTCACTCCTGACAGAAAGGCTCAACTGTAAACAGGGGACGTAGTAGTCGAGAACCTGAACACAGACACATATTGACTAACACTTAGTCTTCGAATATATCAAATTTTGATAAAAACAATTAATTGAGTTTAAATTGAAAAGGAGCAAGAGTGAGAGAGGTGATTCAGACCCGAACCTGAGGAAAATCTGAACTTTCTTCATTTTGTGCTTTTGTGCGGAAAGGGCTGTTACAAATGCAGTAACAAAGTACTCCTCATTTGTCTGACCAACGTTTCTTCACGACAAGTGCAGTAACACAGTACTCCTTATTTGTCTGACCAACGTTTTATCACGACAAGTGCAGTAACAAAACCCATACCTGATAACAGGAGACAGAATGCCACACCCTGAAAGAGAAATCTCCCTTCATACCCGCGAGGTTAGTCTGTCTCACAGTCCCTGAACCACATTAATTTCCCTACTGCCAAGCCATGTCTGCAGTGCTAAAGCCCTAAATAAAGCAAGTCTAGATTTCCTCAGGTTCTGAATCTCTGGTCTCCCTAGGGCTCCTTTCCAATATAAATGGGCTTGTTTGTTACTATCAAAATTATATATATTCAGAGACTAAGCCTTAGTCTACCGCGAGGTGGCCGCAGCTTAATACAGGCACCAGGTGTTTGAAAACAGTCTTGGAGATGTTCCATAATGTTAAAGGTCACATGCAACCAAAAAATCAAACATAATTAAAACACAATTATCACTTCTTCATGACATATAATATGCATTGCTGATTATGAAAAAACAAATAAACAAAATTATAAGCGTATAATCGCAAATCAAAAGTGCAATATTTTGTACTTGGGTTTACCTCCCTCGAAACGAAGCAGCCGGGATACCGAACCCAGTCAGAGCGGGTGGGTGTGCACTCAAGTGTAACGGCTGGTTCATTAGCAGATGCCGCCTTCACGGCTCATTGTGTGTGTATATATAGAGATGTTGGGTTTTGTAAATACATGCTCATTTTTTTGTGTATAACATTTTGCAATCAAAAGACATCATCACATGTCATGTGTTCAAGTATCACACCTCCCTGTCTGTGTAATTACATAATGTGACAGAGACCGAACTCGGGCCATAAATCAATGTTTTGTTTATGGTGTATAGCCTGATTGGTGTTAAGTTCAAATTACATGTGGTCAGTGATCGCAGTTGTGTATTGAAAATTGTCATTAGCAGACAGGCAGGCAGACACACAGGTGTCAATAAAACAAGACATTGAGTTTTGTCTGTGACAGCGACATATCTATATCACAGTTAGAAATTGTGTCAACGCTAAATAATGACATTGCTTTTAAATATCGAACTGAGAAAGTGACTCGGTGAGAAGAATGTGTGGTGAAATAGACAAATGAAATTATATAAACAGTTTATTTACTGTCATAACATATAAAAAGCTTGCGCCTGTGAGATATCAACAAAACATTAGGAAAATAGCTCACACCAAAGCCTTCACAGAGTATTCACCAGACAGCCCACTTCCAAGTTGCGCGAACCTATTTCACTGCGCACGTGCTATGAGCGCAGCCCAGCTGTTGAAACCCGTATTCCCCAGAAAAGTCTGGGGAAAATTAGTGAAACGTTTGAACTCCGATTTCGCGCGTTTTTTTTCGTCGCGTTATTTTTCAACTTTATAAGTTGAATTTGCATTGTTGACGCTTTGTATCGGTAAGTCCATACCGAAAGGTATCAGAATCTGCAAAGTTGTGTTTTACGTTGCATGTGACCTTTAACTAAAGCTTTTCCCCACTGAGCTAGCTGTACCGGCGGTACTGGTCCTGTCATAGGAATCGATGCATCTCACCTTAGACATGTTCTATGGAGGGAGAGGTCTGGGGAAGTAGCGAACCATGACAGTGCAGCAATGTCATACAGTTATGAGTATGTAACAGGAGGGTGGGCATTATCCTGCTGAAATGTAACATCCATCTTTTTGTACAAAGAATAGAACATGATCTCAAACGAGATCCCAGTAGCAAGTTTTATTCTAATTGTCATTAACAGTTAAGAGTATCCGCGTGAGGATGTTATAGTGAAACTGGCATGAGCCGCTGAAGTCATGGTCCAATGGTGTGCTCTGGACTAATAGGTCTCAATCCAGGAATTGTTGATGTGGCAGTTTGGTATCGATTCCTCAGATGCATCAGCCGAATATGGTTGCCTTGTTGGAAGACTTGCCCATGGCTAACTTGAGTGCTTCCCTGTCGTAGATAATCTCAGAAGTGATAATATCATGTTTCAGTGAAAATAAGCTTTGTTGTGTGCCATTCCTGGTTGAAACCTATACCTATGGTGTGTAGACTTACATTTTCAGTAAGCCGTGGCATTGCAACATAATCAGCTGAGCACATGCCAGCTAAACAATCATTGTGTGCTAACATTAAAAAAACGTTCACATGAGCAAGTAGTGGGATATCACATTGGGGATTCGTCACGTGTGTCCCTTTCAATACGGGAAATATCATCAGAACAGAACTTCTATTACGCTCAGGCCGGGATACTCGGCATAAGAAGTACAAATATACAGTTAAGTGTACATGGAAGATTTACAGTTTTCATGATGTTGTTATTACAAAATATACGCAGTTTTTTTAAAGTTAAACAATTCTTTAAATTTTTACCACATTTCCTGTATTGAAAATCTAAACTGTTTAATTGTTGCAGAGAGATACATTTATTCATAGGCAAACATAGCGATACAAATAACCTTTTAACGTCTTTGCAAAAAATGGTATCATGAGAAGTAAAGGCCAGGAACTGTTTAAGAAAATACAACAGAGATGTGATGTAATTACTGCCCTTAATTTCACGTATGCTACCACTTTGTATTGAATATATATGACCCGTAATTTCATATCACCAGCCTTCATCATTGTGTCCCAGTGTCCCAATGTGTAATCACAATCAACTGTATGCTGATCGTCTCCTGCAGAGTCCTATGACCCTGACACTGACATAGTAAAGTGTACAATGTTCAATGGACTGTGTAAGATGAGATGAACTGTCACATTGCAGCGGACAATAGTTGAGCTAATAGGTTGACCCCCACAGGACAGTGATACATGTGTTTAATTGGGAGGCTTCTGTCATGAAGAATACTTTAGTTAAGTGAGAAACTACCCTCTGTAACATATTTCAGAAAACATTCCAATCACCATAAATGTTTCTTATTATAACCATGATTAAAATGCTTCTCTGTGCTTTGAAAACAACAACCCTTAACAGCAAAAATGGCTCTCCTGTGCCACTCTCTCATTATTCGGAATGTAAGCTGGATTTTAACCAAGGGATGTAAGGGAATGTTAATACATTATAATAACTCTATAATCTATGCCATGGAATGAATCAATCATTTATCCTAAACCTACTTGTTCACTTAGTGTAGTCTTACAACACCAGGCCTGAGGATAGCTTCATGTCCGACAGCTTCTCACATCCATAAACTACATCCAACAGATACAATACCTTGCTCATTTCATCAAACTTTTCTGAAATACATACAGGCTGCCGACATATGACGACAAATATGGATGCCCACCACCCAAACCAAAAATCTATGCCAACAACCTAATCCAACCCAATCAAATGTAATTTAATTTAATTTAACCAAATCCAACAACATATCCCAGCCCAAATAACTTCAGTTTATTTCAATTCAATTCAATCTGACCTAACAACATATCCCAACCCAACCAACCCAACTCAGCCCAACCAGTGAATCATTCTGACACACACTACAATGAATGACACTAGTCTATTCAGGCATCTGAGCAATCACAATGAAGTCATCCTTTGTCTTGAGAGATTTATGACGTTACTATGTACATAGGTATAGTTAAGACCCAGTTACTGCTTGACAAACATTGCCTTGAACTTGCCATAAGCTGCTTCAGTGATGACAACGTCCACTAGGATGTAATTGATATCTGTGTCGGGATGAGCTTCAGTCACTGTTGCATTCTTGTACAGCCAGCTGCAACATAATCAGTCCTGTCAAACACAGAGGCTTGGGCTGCCTTACAGTCATGGTACATCGCTCTCTCCAGGCTCTGTCAGCAGAACTATTGATAGCAAAAAACACATCTAATGCCCAAAGAAATAGGAATCATGTTTACCAATGCAAAACTGAATGATGTCTTAGAAGTCCATTCACTATAACCTCAAACTTCAGGTACTGATAGTTTTCAGCAATCATATTTGTAATGATCCCCATGAAGATACCTGCTTCTCAGTTGGCATGAGCTGCGTGTTAGATGAAGGGCTGTTACCTGAGATGCTGAGACGCACTCATAGACAGTCTAAAAGTCTTCTCCAGCATCTTAGTGGCAGTGAGGAGTTGGGTCTGCAGTCTGCCTTTCAACACGTCAAGATTCTGTCCAGTTGTGGCGGACACCAACAGGCTGTGTCCAGCGTCACTGTAACATCAGGGGTAATTTTTAATAGAGACTCAAACAACGTGAGCAAGGCTCACTAATACCCCCAACCATGACTCCCAACTTCAGATGAACAGCAATTATTGACTATTCTTGATGGAAATACAAGATCTGAATACAACATTTCCTATAAACAAAGGAGTAATTACACAAATCAGAAAACTGGATCATTATCAAAAATGATAATAATTCTTAGAATACTTCCTCTAACACTTGATTGCCTTTTTACTGAAACTTGTTTTTGAATCCACAGATCTAGTGTGATTTCTTAACATCCAAGATTTTGTGTTCTTTTTTTCCCTAGTTGTTGAAGCACTATCCACAGGTGCTATCCCCCTATCGGAAGCACAGGAAACCTCCTAACTATTCCTAGGTTAAGAAGGTACTCTGCGATATCTTGGAGAAGGACGGGTGGGCCTTTACCTGAAGTGTTAGCAATATTATTTTATGAATTATTATCATTGTGGATAATGTTCGCAAATATTTACGAATATGTCCCTCGAAAACTATTTTTCCGAAGCCCCGAGTACCCCAAAACTAGGTTAGGAAGACAACCATAAAACTGAAAAATCTAAATCTATACTGTCATAGTTTGCTGGTGATAACACTTGAGAACATTTGTGCTCCTGTGTTTCATATTGTGTTGGAGTATGACGTCATTTCCGCTGAACAGTACTTCTGATGGCCTCATGATGACGTCACTTCCGGTCTATATCCCGTACATTCCAATGTGAAGACTAATTCGTGACGCTGATTGTATATATCCTGCTTCCAAATTTAGTATACTTTTGTGGTTTTAGACTCACTCACTAAATGCAGCAAGAAATGAATCCAGGTTCACAATAATCAGCCTCAGGTCTGAGTTAAATAGTTAACTCACCCTCAGTTGTGAGTGTTTTCCCAGTAGCTGTCTGATCTCAGGATGACAATTCACATTTAAAGGGGAAGTGTACACGAATAAATCACATTTATTCTTATGTGAATCAAAGTGAACTGTTTTAATTAGTTAATGCCAATGTTTGAAAATATACACTCATTTTTCTTACAATGTAAGTATAACCCTCAAAATAAGTGCTGAAATGTTATGCCAATATTAGGTATTTGTTTGCCGAGCTAAACAGGCCAGAGTTACCACCCTTTGATTATGACGTAATTGGTGCCACTTGATTTTAAACTGGTCTCCCGTCTAGTCCCAAATCAGAAGATAATAATACTGATATTAATCACGTGAAAAAAAAGTTTGTGAAAATACAAAGAAGCATAAGAACAGAAAATGTAAGCAGCAGGACGGATTGATCGTGTGTATTTTCTTTCATAACCTCGCCTCAATGAAAATACCAAATATGTATAACAATGTTGACGTCCGTATGACATCACTATCGGGAAGCGACTTTTTCAAAATGCGTGTTCACTGACACGAGTACGCCAGAGTTTTTGAAGGAAATTTTCGTTGTTTCAAGCAACGTATATGCATAAATGTGACATGTTAGTAGTCCGAAACTTCTGTCAGTCTGCTGGTTGTTATTTTCTATTTGTTTTCATTGTGACCAAGGGAAATAGTCAGAAATTAAGAGAAGTACCGTCATCGTTGTGCGTGAGTTTGCGTCAGTTATGGTGTCATGCTTTCAAAAACTATAATATGTTGTGATGAATCTAGAAAATCATTGGAATACACCTGTTTTATTTAACTATCGCTTGCTACGATACCTTTCCCATGCATGTTCTAAAACTAATGAGCAATTGTATGCAACAAGTAGGTGAACGGATTCACAGTGTAAAATCTGAGATTGGCTTTGTACACATTTCAAACAAGTATTCTTTCACAGCGCGGCATCTCATATCCTCGATATATTGCGTTAGATTTCACTGAAACACTTCGTATTGGTGACAAAGTCCATTTGTCAGTTTATTTTGAACTGTATGAGGAATTCAGGGATTCATGTAAGGAAGATAGTGTTGAATTTTATGGACGAAACATAACCGACATAAATGTGACGTGATTTTATAAACACTATGTAATATGGCTGAAAATTCACTTTGATCGCTTATGTATTTTCCAAAACATTCTCAGCGATTCTCGGTTCATTGATAATGTTTCAGAACGAGCATTGGTGATTCGATCATACGACAACAAAACTACCGCTGATCACAATGATCACGTCTTTTTCTTTTAAATTCAATTCTCCCAGTAAAATTTGACATTTGAATTAAGACATACCATAAATTACGCAAAACGCAGTGAATGGTGATTTAGTAATGTGTCAAAACTGGCGAGATTTACGATGCATGTCTTTTTCAGTAAATTTTATCTACAATGAGCGGTCGATATCATAGAAAAAGGAATTTCAAACAGTGTTCAAAACTGCAAATTGCATTTATCTGCGTGATGTATTTGGATATGTACTATCGATATCAAAGTGAAGTAGGTGGAAAAGGAGTGACATATCGTACGATTTATGTAAGAACTTTAGTAACAAACGTAGAATGCCGGCACATTCACCGATGGCAAGCAAGATGTAGTGCATATAGACCATTCTTAGCCAATATGCATGAACTCGAGGTCAAATCGAAAGCGAGGCTTAAATAGGTTGACCCAACCTTGAAAATTGCGACCTCGAAAAGGAAAGATTACTGCTGTGTGCCTTTGCGTTGGAGTGATGCCCGTAAGGATTTTACGGTATCTTTTCACCATATTCCCAAGAATAAGATCAGAAGAAGGCAGTGGTTGACGAAAATACGGAGAGATCCTGGAAAATGATTCATAGTAAGTACAAAATAATTACGGCACATGGCATAGTCTAGATCTGCCGTGTAATGTACAAACTGTTCACTATGCAAGGTTTTAATATTAGGGGCACATGTACAATGTGAATGTCACACACACAGAGACACATCCAAACCCCACCCCCACCCCACCCCACACACACATTCTCATGTTCAAAATCAGTGATCACCCCCCTAGTTCATATGTACATAATTGGCCCCTCCCCCTGCCTCCCAAAACAAACTGGGAGACACCCCAACCCCAACAAACACCGCACCTAAAATCATCATCACCCCCCTAGTCATAAATTATGAACGGTCCAATATATTAAAAAAATTTAAGCATATGGACATGTGCAGACACTCTTGTCATGATGGCAAGGGAATTTTATTTGCAAATATTCTGTATCAGTGAAATTAGATTGGCTGCAAATCAAAGTAACATTTCAAGTACATATATATGCAGGACATACACATGCTGTTAAAAAATCTTAAATATGTATCTACTTTCAAAATTACTGTATACTGACCAGTACTTCAGGGATACAGCACATATTACTGGACAATCTAATTACACCAACTGAAATATATTTAGTGTTTAAATATCCATTTCAGATGCTGCTAATTAAGAGTCAGAGAGCATGTCACCAGCTCAGGAACCTCCCATAAGGAATCTACCACAGTCACCATCTCAGATACAGTAAGAATGTCAGATCATATTAAGTTAATTTTGCCAACTGACATGGTTTTAAAGAATTTAATACAACTGAACTTTGACCTATATGCTATGTTATTTACATATAAAAATATTGATTGCCCATACTGTCTAAATTATGAAATGATGTTAGTAACTATTCCTTGATGTATATTTGTAATTCCAGAGATATATTCATTGTTTGTGTGGTCGAAGAGATAATAGTGATGCTTTACAATGCTTATATTACAGTGAAGCAGAGAGTGATACAGCAGCCACTGACCCCCAGTCCTACATAGAACAACTCCAGCAAAACTTACATGAACAGGGGAGGCAACTCAAGGAAAAGGTTGACAAAATAGAAAAATTGAACAGAAAACTTGAACTTGAAAAGTTTGGAGTCTGTAAATTCATGTATGATGATAAAAACTGATTGAAGATTTTACAGTATTCCATTATTTCAAACATTGTCACTGATTAGCTGGAACTTTTTCATTTGTTGAATATCTTCCCAGGTTTTGTGAAGTACCTTGCCCAAACAGCACAGAAATTGACAGACATGAATGTAAATGAAATTGTTTGGTGCTTTTGTGTTGTGTAAATGATGGATGAAAAAAGAAACAGCTGTAATACATACACATTGATGGATTTAACTGAAAAATAGAAAGGTCTTTCATAATGGCATAGTTGTAGATGTAACTCATTTGCTGCTGTTTAATTAATAATTGATGAAAAAGAATGTATTTCATCCTGTTTGAAAAGAGTTAGTTGGGAATCAGAAAAAACCCATCATTCATAGATAAGAGATTATGATAATGTGTAAGGGGAGAAAACTATGATAAATTATGCATTGATCCAGCTGTAATTGTTGCCATTCTTGTCAGACTAATCTAAAAGGATACTTCTATCAACATAAATATTGCACCCAATATATTTTCAATTTGCATCCTCTGAAAATTTTATTGTTATTCATCAGTATTACAGTTGGAAGCTATTGTGAATGTGTCTATTGTTATTGGACTTTTAAGACACCATTTCAAAATAAATTTTTATTAACTGCACTCCAGGTGTTCGTTATTTATTTGGGTTAATTGTTTGCTGTAGTGTGAATCCTGTTATGTTAATCTGATAATATTTTCTCCTTAAAAATGTCTTCAGTTACAGTGGTACAGAATAAGTACACCTGATCTACAATAAATCAATTTTATGGTATAGTAACACAGTAGTGAAAATTAGTTCAAATATTCCCCATGCAGGTACCACTTGTCAATTTAGGTAAATTAATTATTCACCTCGCAATCAGTCAAGAAAGAACTTGAAAAAAATCATCCAGTTTTGTCTTGCACATTGTGTCCCACCAGAGACCATATAATAGATATGGTCTCTGGTCCCGCTCATGTTGATTGAAATAAATAGTTTCTACATGATGATGTGGCGATTCGTTTTTCCTCTGCGACTGTAACATGCAGCTACGCGCACATCCCCATCACCACTAGTCCTGTACAACTGAAAATAAATGCGTGAA